GTTCATTTGGGTTTCCTCTTTTTATAGCCTTTTGGGTTTTCATTCTTACTGATTTGTAGGAGGTCTTTATACACACACACACACACACACACACACACACACACATATTCTGGATATATTCTTTGTCAACGACTTATGTTGCAAATGTCTCCACACATAGGTAATGCCATCTCTGTGATAAGCCAAGTTCCTATATGTACTTCGGGTCTGGGATTTTCAAAAGCATTCTTGGATTCTTTTTAACAGTCCTTGCTCCGGCTTCTCTGTCCTCTCACATTTACTATAAGCAGCAAGAAGAAGCCAGGTGGCAACTTCAGCATTTTGCCTGGAAATCTAGAGTACCCAGTTCCTTAGCTACACTTTCCACATTACTGTAGGCGAACCTCTTGCTTCCAGTTTCCAACGACATTCTCGTTTCTGAAGGTGCTACTGCTGACAGTCTCCTTCAAGACCATCAGTCTTCTACCAATAATCTGTTCCAGGAACTTCAGGCTCCAACACTGTTCAAAAGTCTTCCAGATTCCACCCACTACCAGTACCAAAGCAATACCGTCTTTGGTACTTGCTATAGTACCATACCACTTGTGTTCCCCAAATCTGTATGTTAGCTACTGCTGCATAACAAGTTACCTCAAAACTTAGTGGCTTACAATAAACATTATTTCAGTTTCTATGGGTCAAGAATTTGGGGGTGGCTTAGCTGGGGCAGAAGGATCCACTTCCAAGACGGCTCGCTCACATGGCTATTGGCAAGAAGCCTAGTTCCTCTCTGGTTCTTGGTAGAAGTTTTCAGTTCCTCGACACAGGGACATTTTCATAGGGCTTTTAAAGTGTCCTCAGGACATGACAACTGGCTTCCTATAGAGTGGACAATCCAAGAAAGAGCAAGGAGGAGCCCACAGTGTCTTCTGTGAACTAGCCTTATAGTCAGACACCATCCCTTCTGCTATATTTGATTCATTAGAACCCAGTCACTAAGTGCAGCTCACAGTCAAGAGGAGGAGAATTAGGCGACACCTTTTGAAGGGAGGAGTATTAAGAATACGTGGACATATTTTAAAACTACTACACTGCCTTTAAACAGAACAAAATGAGATACCAGTCTTTTTTTTTTTTTTGAGACAGTCTCACTCTGTCACCCAGACTAGAGTGCCATGCTGTCAGCCTAGCTCACAGCAACCTCAAACTCCTGGGCTCAAGCGATCCTCCTGCCTCAGTCTCTGGAGTAGCTGGGACTACAGGTGCGACCACCATGCCTGGCTAAGTTTTCTATTTTTTAGTAGAGATGGGGTCTCCTCTTGCTCAGGCTGATCTCGAACTCCTGACCTCAAGCGATCCTCCCACCTCTGCCTCGAAGAGTGCTAGGATTACAGGCCTGAGCCACCATGTGCCCAGCGTTGAAGTTACTAGAAATCACTTTTTTCAAATGCAAATGTCCTTTTAACTCAGCTAATCTGCTGCTGGTGATTCTCTCAACGCACCCATAGCCTGAGCAGGCAACTGCTTAGTCAGGCTTTGCAAATGAAAGTTATGATGAGGGTCTTAACTTAGGTTTTATAGAAAGACCAGGAAGAAGCTGGAACAGAGGCTTGAAACTTTAGCCCAGTGACATGCAGGCCATAAAAACGGGAAAAATCAGAGGTAGTGACGGTGTATTCTTTTTTTTAAAAGTTATTTCATGCTAGTTTATTTAGGGGTTCCATTTTCACGCAATAGATTTTACACGTTTCTCATACGCTTCACTCATTTGTTCTAGTTCTGAAGGGTTCCTCAGTGTCATCTCGGTCAGCCAAACATCTTCATGACAAGATTCGTTGGCAAGTGCTGGATTTTCTGCAAGAGCCTCATTAATTCTAGTTGCTGCTCCTGATGAAGGAGAACAGAGTTCGCTAGCAGCGTTCACACTTTGCAAACACCAACTCGCCTCGTTTCGGCCTGGCCTGACCTCAGGCCAGACTGCAGGAAACTCCCAAAGCGTCCTGCGCGGACTCGCTGTCGCCCGGCTCCGGCGCCGCCTTCCGTCGTTAGCGGGCGTCCGCGCTCGGAGCGGGCGACGGTCGCCCGGCCGCGGTCCCCGCGCGCTCCGCGACCTCGGCGTATCTGTGTGACAGGCGGGAAAAGCCCCGAAACAAAAATGAATTTCCCATTTATCTCACCCGCACACGACGTGCTAACCATCGAGAATGTCCCAGTGTCACCAAGGTGGCTTTCCTAAGATTCGTCGTCGTCTGCCTCCCCGGCGGTGGGGACGCAGAGGGGCTGCGAAGGCGGGTCTCGGACTCAGAGCGTGACCCGGCGGCGGCACGGAGGTCGCCAGCAGGGGAACCCCGGGCAAGGGAACTCCCCCCCCCAAGCCCGAAAACCCCCTCGGTGAAGCGGAATGTCTTCGTGGAACCTGCCTGTGGCTTGTTTCGACGGCTAAATGCGCCAGTGTCCGCAAAAATACTCGGCCCATAAATGTTAGCTGCGTTTTTAGCTTTTTTAGAGCAAATTTTTAACTGAAAAGAGGTGGGAGTGCCGAAAAGGAAAAGCTCTTCCGCCCTTCCTATAAAATCCGAGGGAACCTCTGGAGAATGTGAAAGCGGAATGAGGCGGGGCGGGGGTCCCACCGCAGCAGGGCTCCGCGCCGGCCCCTCCCGGCCGCAGCGCTCACCCGCCCGGAGCCGTCCGGGTGACTGACAGGGCGGGCCGCGTGCAGGCCCCGCCTCCAGCCCTCCGGGCCCCGCCCCGCCCCGCCCCCGCCGGCCCCGGCGCTTGCAGCCGCGGCCGAGGTCCCAGTGGCGGCCGCCAGCCCAGCCCGCCCGCGAGCCATGACGACCGCGGGCCGAGGGGCGCTGCTCGCGCTGCTGCTGCTGCTGCTGGCCGGGGCCAGGCCGTGCCCCGCCGCCTCGCCGCCGGCCCCGCCGCGCTTCAACGTGAGCCTGGACGCGGCCCCCGCGCTGCGCTGGCTGCCGGTGCTGCGGCACTACGACCCGGACTCGCTGCGCGCCGCGGTGGCGCAGGTCATCGGGTGAGCGGGGGCCGGGCGGCCGGGCCGGGGGCGGCAAGCCCAGACGCGCGCCGCCCCAGGCGTCTGACCCGGGACTCCTCACGGCCCGCTCCGTCTCGGAACCGCGCTGCTGCTGTTCTGGGCGGCGTCGGGGTCGGGACGAGCCAGCGCGGCGGGCTCGCTCCTCAAGTTCGGAGTCACCAGTGGCTCGCCCGGCCTTGAGCCGCTCCAGATCGGGGTGGCGCGCGGGTCGTCGCCCGGGCTGCTCAGCTGCTGAGCAGGGGACACACCCACGCCTTCCCTGCAGGCCTCGCGGGCCCCCTAGGCCTGCTTCCCGGGGACCAGCCTCACCCGCCTTCCTCTGCGGGAGTTTCCGTTTTCCCTCCTGGATGCCAGGGGTCGCGTGGCGAGCGCCTGGCCTGTCAGCTCTCCGGGCACAGTGGCGCTGAGCACGCTGCCCCTCCGGATGTCGCCCTCGCTCCCCGGACGCGCACGCTCGCCTCCGACCTCGGAGCGGTCAGACACCCGGGTGCCCTTCCGTTTCCAGGGACAGAGTCCCCCGGTGGGTCCACGCAGTGATCGGAAAGGCGGCCCCGGAGCTGGAGCAGCGCCTGCCGCAGCCCTTCACCGGCGAGATCCGCGGCATGTGCGCCTTCCTCAACCTCAGCCTGGCCGACTGCCTGCTCGTCAACCTGGCCTACGAGTCCTCCGCGTGAGTGCCGGCGCGGCCTGCCGGGGGCGGCGGCGTTTTCGGGGTGGTGGCAGCTGCTGGGGGCCGGCTGCCCGAAAGCCCGCGCTTCCTCTTTACCTCCGCGCAAATCCGAGCAGCAGGCCGTGGGCTTCGGAAGGGAAAGCGGCTTCTCTGACTCGACACCGACATTTGCCTCTCCCCGAAGCCCCCGTCTCTCTCCACCGATCCAGGGAGCGTCGCACTTTCAAAACTCTGCTCGAAGTGTACTTTTCCAGGAAGGTTTGGCAGCTAACCCTGTGCCCCTCCAGCCTACACCTGCAGTGGGTCATCCCCGCGCTCACTCCTCCGCGGCGTTTTCCCTCCGTGTGTCGTGGCTGGCGACGCAGATGGCTCTTTCGGAGTCGCTTTCCTCCAGGGCTGGGGGCGCAGGGAACCCCGTTCTGTCTTCCCGGCTAGCCAGTGTCCGCAGCGGCCAGTGGGTGTGATAAAATGTGGCACCCAGCGGTGGAAGCCGTATGGAGTGTGGTTGATCCCAGGCAAAGTGCAGGGGGCCCTTAAGCGTTTATGGGCTCAGTGACAGGCCCTGGAATTAAGAGAGGTTTGACTTGGTTTCTCCCTTTAAGACTTACTGTTTTACCAACACCAGCCTAGTAATAGATCCAGTAACATCTTGTAACTACTTATAGCTTCTTGATGTCTAAAGAGGATGAGAGTAAAAAAAGATCTTGGGATCAGACGATGTGGCTCACGCCTGTAATCCTAGCACTCTGGGAGGCCGAAGCGGGAGGATCGCTTGAGGTGAGAAGTTCAAGACCAGCCTGAGCGAAAGCGAGACCCCATCTCTACAAAAAATAGAAAAATTAGCCGGGTGCAGTGGTGTGCGCCTATAGTCCCAGCTACTCAGGAGGCTGAGGCAGGAGAATCACTTGAGCTCTGGAGCTTGTGGTTGCTGTGAGCTAGGATGACACCACTGTACTCTAGCCTGGGCAACAGAGACCCTGTCTCAAAACAAAACAAAAAAAACTTGGGATAATGAAACTTCAGTGGCCCAGGCATCATGCCTGACCACCTAGGCAGGGTAAGTTAAGGAGCTCAGAGATTGCCTTTCCTCTTCAGGGAAATGCCTTCAGACACAAGTGAGACACAGGCCTGCTAAATTAAAGTGTTTTTCAACTGAACTAAGTTAATTTTACCATCTTCCTTTCTGCCTCCAACTTTTTCCTATTTTGACATGTGGCTTTCTCAATGAAAAATCACTAATCATTTTTACCCTCATTGGTTGGAGTCAACCATATTCAAACAGATTAAAGCAAAAGTTCTAGTAAAAACATTGTAACTTTCGGATTGGATATTAAGGAATTTATTGAATCAGTTAACAATAGAAAGCACCATCTGATTCCACTGGCATTAACAAGGCAGATGTTTTGTTCTCACTGCGTAAGTAAGGCTTCTTGAATCAGAGCATGACACTAGCTACCCTTTATTGAGCGTACCGGGTGCCAGGCACTTCATGAACACAGCCGTGTACCCTCTGTTTTGTGGAAACCAAACCTCAGCGGGGACAGCTTGCTGGAAGTCCGGTGGCTGGTGAGTGCGTGTGAGTCTCCAGTGCCCTGCAGCGCTTCTCCCAAAGCCCTTGTCCCGTCTCCTTTGTCCCCTGTGCCTGTGCACTCCTCACACTAAAACATTGGGTAGGATATGGAAGTATCGTTACTTTGCCAATTTTGAAAAATCCCCTTTGAGTGACATTCTACAAACATGCTTTAGTACTTCCCATATCATATCTTATCCCCTCCCTGAGCTCAACTCTTTGAAATTCAGATCAGACACATGGGAAGGAATTGAAACCTGACCAAGCTTCCTTCTTTAAACAAAAAAACAAAAACAAACAGCACCTTTTTTTTTCTAGTTATAAAAGTATTCTAATATGTAATTATTGTAGAAAATCAGTAAATGCAGAAAACTATAAAGAACAAAATAACCACCATCCTATCACTCAGAAACAACCGGAAAATCCTTTGGGCTATTTCCTCTATTTTGTTTGTGTGGATATACATATCCTTCTCCCCGAGAACTGGACATACTGTATATAAATATTTTTTCATATAACATTAAACATTCTCAGAGAATATGTATATTTAGGTGTTTTGACAAACCACCTCCTCTTTTTCTCAAAATACTTCTGTCTAACCCAGAGTCCTTAAAGAATCCTTTTCTTTTATTAGCTCTGTGCAGGGACCTCTGAGAGAGACAGGAAGAGTGCCAAGCCCGCAGAGACCTGACCGTTTCCCAAGGGGACAGAATGAAACATTTGGGGAACAGAATGGTTTAGTGCCATTGTACTTGCTCTGAGAAACTCACAGTAGGAGAGCTGAGCTGGCGCTAGCTTTACATAACGTGTGAAGTGGATACACACTGCCGAGCAGAGGGAGGAGCAGACTTCAGGGGTCTAGCCAAGCCCAGGACGAGTCGGTTTCACTTAGGATTTAGACTGAGGATGGAATTCTCATTCGGTAGGCTGCCGGGCCACCCACGCTTGCCAAGGGCAAAGGTTTAGTAACACTGAATGAACACGACGAGTTGTGTCCATTTGTGTTTTCATCTTGAATTGTGAATCCATACTCTTGTACGAGGATTACAGCATTTATGTCAGTTACAATGAAGACAAACTATTTTACTTTGAGGACTTGTTTTAAAGACGAAAAACCCATTTACCTTTTTTATTTGTCTTGTTCATTCACATTGGCCTTTTCCCTTTTCTCAGATTCTGCACCAGTATCGTGGCTCAAGACTCCAGAGGCGGCATTTACCATGGTCGGAATCTGGATTATCCTTTTGGAAATATCTTACGCAAGTTGACTTTGGATGTGCAGTTCTTAAAGAATGGACAGGTATGGTCTGCACAGTATAAGTACAGAAATTGGAAAGACTTGTTAACCCAAGTTAGCAATCATTTGGATGGCCTGCTAATGTGCGTTATTAGCATAAGATACAAAAAACATCAAACCCCTGGAGTAACAAAACCAGGAGAGAGGGTTACATCAATTATGCTCGTAGGAAGGATGGTCATTTATTATTATTGAGCAGCTACTTAAAGAGGTCAACTAATTTCCTTAGGGAAGTCTCTTTGGAGTATGATCAATCTTCCACTGACGCTGAGTCAGCTTCTTCCTCTGCTTTCCCATGTTCAGGCGGCTTCTACCATAGAGAGGGGCTGGGTAGAACAATGGCTGGGAACACCCAGCTTTGGGTTCCGACAGTCCTGGGTTTGAATCCTGAATCGAGACCACGTGCTGCTCGCCAGGATGTCGTCCGGGGGATCTGGACGAGCTGGGCTTGAGAAAGGATCAAGATGCCTCTGGCTAGAGTTTTACAACATCCATCCTTGGAAGCAGAAAAGAAAAAACATAAAAAGAAATGCCTAGTTCAAAGTCCAAGCTCTTATTTTATGGGTGTAAAATGCCCAGGTTGCTACAGGATTCCCACAGTTTTCAGCCACGCTCAGACAGTGGTTCTTTGTGCAGCTCGTTCAACAGCGTTGAGCCAGCCTGCGGAGGGAAGGCCAGACTCAGAAGGGTGTTCATTTAGAAGAAAGCAACACTCGTGATCTTCCTGAATTTCTGTTGTCTCACAGAGAGCCTTATCATGAATTCAGTAAATCTAGTTAATCTACCAAGATAATTACTTTAGATTTTGTAAGGTATACAACAGTGAGCTCCTATTGTGGTGTCGGTTTTCAGTAAAGTTTTGATTATGGGCAAAAAAAAAAAAAGAATCCTGATTCTGTCAAATACTGGACTTCCTTTGTGAATCTGGGAAATTATTCCCATTTTACAGACTACAGCTCAGAGAGGTTCACAACTACTTTATTGAGATAGTTATGAATTTTATTTATTTATTTATTTATTTGAAACAGGGTCTTGCCCTGTCTCCTAAGCTGAAGTGCAATGGTGGGATTGTAGCTCACTGTAACCTTGAATTCCTGGGCTCAAGTGATCCTCCTGCCTCAGCCTAGTGAGTAGTTAGACTACACGTGTGTGCCACCACACCGGGCTAATTTTTATTTTTTTTTGGTAGAGATGGGGTCTCTCTGTATTGCCCAGGCTGGTTTTAAACTCCTGGCTTCAAACGATCCTCCTTCCTTGGCCTCCCAAAATGCTGAGATTACAGGTGTGAGCCACTGCATTTGGCCTGAGATGGTTATAAATGTTAAATGACACAATCTATGTAAAGCATGTGGTAGGTCCTTGATATATAGTGGCCAAAAAATATGGCCAGGCGCGGTGGCTCACACCTGTAATCTGCCTGTAATCCTAGCACTCTGGGAGGCTGAGGCGGGAGGATCACTTGAGCTCAGGAATTTGAGACCAGCGTGAGCAAGAGTGAGACCCCGTCTCTACTAAAAATAAAAAAATGAGCCAGGTGCAGCAGGGCATGACTGTAGTCCCAGCTACTTAGAGGCTGAGATAGCAGGATCGCATGAGCCCAGACGTTTGAGGTTGCAGTGAGCTATGATGACGCCACTGCACTCTAGCCAGGGTGACAGAGCAAGACCCTGTCTCAAAAAAAAAAATAGTGGCCAAGTAATAAATGATCCCTCATTTAACAAGTATGATTTACCCATACCACTTGCTTAGGTATGTATGATCTTTAAAAAATCATACTTAGATTATTTTGTTTTAAGCATGGTCCCTTTAAAACTCTAATCTAATATGTACTGTTGTTACATTACTGTGTAAACTTTTGGAGAGAGAGCATTAATTAATATTCCTTGAGTACACAAAGCATGTTATTGCTGCAAGGCAAAATAGAGTGTGCAAAAGCCAGGTTTTGGCTTTAAGGACGAGGACTATTATCTCCTTTGTTTTTTGCATTTAGGGGTTGATTCACAAATACTAAAAACTCATTTACTAAGTAGTCATTTAGTCATCTCTTTTACAAACACTTTTTCTCATAAAAAATTTAAATAATACAGAATTAAAGTAAATTAAAGTTTCTCCTTTCCTATTTCTTTACTTCACCACTTTTAACAATTTGATTTCAGAACTTTCAAAAACTGGTTTAAGTGGTAATAACAATATAAATGCATAATAAAAATCTAAGATATTTAATTATTACTGAATGATAGAATAATAATTATTTTAATTTATTACTTTGTGCTTTTCGCCATTATTCTACAATGAGCAAATATTCTTATAAATAGACAAAGGAATCAATGCAATAAAAATAAATTATTTCAACTGTTCTCTCTAAAACTCACGCTAACTAGAAGTTGTTGCTTCATTTGTTTCTGTTTTTCCTGGCGCACCCATGAGAAATATTCTATTGAGGTGCTCTATTCTCAGTACTCAGGTTGTTATTACTGGATTCGAGATTCAAGACAGTTTTCACTTGGGTATTGCCTTTCCACAGAGAACTCATGGCTGAGAAATCGTTTTGCTAAATGAAGAACAGATTATCCACAAAATAATTTGTCTCTCATTTTTGTCCAGTCTTCATAATTTTCTTTTTTTTTGAGATAGAGTCTCGCTCTGTTGCCCAAGCTAGAGTGCAGCAGCATTGTCGTAGCTCACTGCAACCTCCAACTCCTGGGCTCAAGCAATCCTCCTGCCTCAGTCTCCTGAGTAGCTGGGACTACAGGTGCACCACCACAATGCCTGGCTAATTTTTCTTCTTCTTTTTTTTTTTTTTTTTTTTTGAGGCAGTGTCTCGTTCTTGCTCAGGCTGATCTCGAACTCCTGGCTTCAAGCAATCCTCCTGCTTTGGCCTCCCAAAATGCTAGGATTTCAGGCGTGAGCCACTGTGCCCAGTGCTAATTTTTTTGTTTTTAAGTTTTCGTAGAGACAGGGACTTACTATGTTGCTCAGGCTGGTCTCAAACTCCTGGGTTCAAGTGGTCCTCCTGCCTCAGCCTCCCAAAGTGCTAGGATTACAAGTGTGAGTCACCATGCCTGCCCAAAACAAGTTTTTAAATCAGACTCCATTTGTTACTTCTAGGATGGGCTTCTTAACCCTCTTTGAGCATGGACCCCTTTGGTGAATAGTATTTTATAAATGCATTAAATAAAATACATGATATTACAAAGAAAATCAATTATGTTGAAAAACAGCCATTTCGATATTACAATTTATCTTCACACATTAAATAGTAAGATTTAGGAGTCAGTCTAACAACTGCCTTGATTTCAGAGTAGTGGTGACTGTGAGTGGTATTTCCAGATATCTGCAACCACCATTATGTATCTGAAAATACTTCTGATTTCTGCTGGTGACAAAATCACAGGCACAACTATTAACATTACTGCAAGATTTGTCGCATGCATTCGTTATAGAAGGAGTTAAATTTCAGTTAGAGGTTATTAAAAATAAATATGTGCCATTTGGCCAGGTGCGGTGGCCTTTTTCCCATACAAGGCCACGAATCCACTGAATTCTATCCATGGATCCCCAAGATTAAGAACCCCTGTTCTAGAAGGCGATTTCAGAGTTTTATTCTAGTATGTTAGAACTTATAAGAAAAAAGAACTCAGGAAATTATGGGGCAAAACGGGTGATTTCCCTGTGTGTTTGGTTGGCCTGGTAAAATGGTGCCTCTCTCCTGCTTTCAGGTGGCTTTCACCGGCACCACTTTCGTCGGCTACGTGGGATTGTGGACCGGCCAGAGGCCACACAAGTTCACGGTTTCTGGCGACGAACGAGGTAATCAAAACGAACTCCTGCACATTCGAAGCCGTATCCCTGTCCAGTTCCATCCAAGTGCCTCCCTCACCAAACGGAGCACATGGAACACCTGCTACGCGGCAGGGACTTCCACTGGAGCAGGGGGAGGGACAACGTGCATGGAAGCTACGGAGATGATGTCAGGTAGCGATGGCGCCACAGCGAAAGCAGGACAGGACGATGTGCTGGCGATTGGGGGTGGGTGCTGGGAGAGGCGGAGGGTCAGAGACACGCAGTCCAGGAGCCGGGTCTGCAGAGGCTGGGGGAGACTGTTCCGGGTGGACTTACAGCCAGACAAAGGCCATAGACAGGAACAAGCTTGGGGGATTCCAGAAACAGAAGGTCAGTGTGGTCACAGCGTGGAGTAAGGGATGGTGACATTAGAGGTAGAGGGGACTGGGGCCGTGCCGCAGGGTCTTGATGAGGGGGTTTCAAATGTAGTGGAAGCCATAGGAGGGCTGCGGGCCAGGGAGTGGACAGATCCGATGCGTATTTTTAACCATCGCTTTGGCTGCTCTGTAGAGACTGGGTTGTGTTGGGTTAAGACGGAAGCAGAAGGCGGCCAGGGATCTGCTGCAGTAATCTAGGGCATGTGTGATGTTGCACAAGCAGCGTTTGCAAAGTGCCTTCCGATTTACCGTGCATCGTCACACGTGCTCTCATCCGACCTCACGACAGGCCCGCTGGGCAGACAGGGCTGGTGTTATTAACCGCATTCCCCAGGCGGAGGAGGGGGCGGGCTACGAGATGAAATGACGCAAGCAGCTGGGAGCGGTAGTTCTCAAACTGCCCTCCTGGGTCCTGGCCCGGTTCCCCTGTTTCTTAACATCCCCCTGCTATTGCGCAGATCTCAGGGGAACACCACTCAGTTCCACCATACGCGGGAAACCCAGAGATAAGCAAGCTCTCGCCTCTGCCCTTAGCTTGCAGCTGAATGAAGGAGAAACACGCAGGCAAGGAGTAGCCCGAGGTTTGATGTTCCTCACCTGATGAACCCGGCTTGGCCTCGTGGTGGTGTTTATCCTCATCTTTTTACTGAGCCTTTACCAGGAAGGGCGTGGTTGAGGATATACCCGTGTCCACAGTGATCAGTTCTTTATCCTGATGCATTGGTTCTCAGCCAGAGGTCCCCAAACCACAGCATGACAATTCCTAAGGTTTTTAATAGCATGCCCATAAACACATGTAGAGTTATTTTAAATGATGGGCTTTGTTTTTGTCATTTTCCGACTCAAATTGTTTGCCAAACTGATGAGTAGAACCTGAGGTATGAGCAGTTTAAAAATAACTGAGTTAGTCTCTAACATTAAGGAAATACTGTCAAACAGCTTTTTAAAGGCTTTTGAAACTTTTTTTAAAAACCTTATTTTAGTGAAAACTAGTTATATTTTAGTCTGCTGAGGACGTCTGAACAACAAGGCACCATCTCTTGGCAAATAGAAATAATTAAGTTATTAATTTAAGTTTCCAGACGTTATGGAGGGTGCCAACAGTGCCTCGACCTCCCCGGGAAAGGACAGGATAGGAGGGAAAGACGGGGAGGCTTCCCGAAATGCCCGGCGGGTAAGACTCAGACTCCAGAGCCTGCCAGGTTCACATCTGGGTGCTGGGTGACCGCGACCAAGCTGCCGCGCCTGCCTGTGCTCAGCTTCCTCGTCTCCAGAGCAGGCAGGACCGTAGCCGCTGCGAGGGTGACGTGAGTTACTGAATGTGAAGGCGCAGAGCAGTCCCCGGCGCAGAGCAGGGACCACAGAAGTGTCTGTTCTTATTGTCGCATCTCCAGGCCTGGCCTTCTCTGACGCCCAGACTGGAGTGTCCACCCACCTGCTCAGCGCCTTCACTGTGAGGTCTGAGTTCAGGTGTCTCAGACTCACCGTGTGCAAGCAGGTCTCCTGCTCTCCCCTTTCCTCCTCTCCCTGCCCCGCGCCGCCCCTACCCAAACCCTTTCTCGTAGTTGTCCAGTTTCAGGAGATAGCGCCGCCGTGTATGTGGGCTGTAAACATTCGCACTCACAGAGGTAGAAAGGAGAATGGTGGCTCCCAGAGCTTGGGGGTGGAGGTGGGGGAAAGGGAGATGCTGGTCAAAGGGGACACAGTTCAGTGAGACGGAAGGAAAAGTTCTGGAGATCTGTTGCACAGCAAGGTGATTACAGTTCCTGTGTTGTACCTTTCGACACCTCCTACGCTTCATTTTACACCTTCTCCTCCCTCTCTCCACCCACGCCCTGCTGGCACGTTCCCTTTCCTGACGTCCGCCCAGCACGTCCCTGCCCCAGGCACCTGGGCCTTTTATCTGGAAGGCTCTGTCCACAGTAGCTCCTCAAAGGTCGGCAACTCTGAGAGGCCGCCCTTACTGCTCCTCTGGGCAGGCGCCCTCCCCTCCTCACTCACAGTTCCATCACTCTGTTTTGTCTTCTTCTTCACAGTCATCAAAACCTTGTTTATCTGACGGTGCACTAGTTTCTTTGTTTACTGTTAAATTCCAGGCCCTGGGCCAAGGCAGCACCTAGGGCGTCAGTGCTTCCCTCCCTCTCTTTCTCTCCCTCTCTCTTTCTTTCTTTCTCTTCCTCTCTCTTTCTTTCTCTCTCTCTTTCTTTCTTTCTTTCTTTTTTAATAATTTAAGATTTTTCCCAAATTCTTTGTGGTAAGATACACACACCATAAGATTTACCGTCTTCATTATTCTCAGCGTGCAGTTCAGCGGTACTAAATACACTCATAATGTCTCGCATCTGTCGTCACCGTCCCTCTCCGCAACAGCTGGATGTGCGCCCAGAAGTGGGGCTGCTGGATCATACGGCACGATGTCACTCATAGGTGGCTCTTTCGAACTCGTAGAAGTCAAGAGCAGGATGGTGGTTCCCAGAGACTGGGGTGGAGGGTGGGTGGAGAAAAGAAGATGGGGGTCAGAGGGGACAAAGTTTCAGTTAGACAGGAGGAAGAAGTTCTGGTGATCTTTAATCTTTTGAGAAACCACCGTTCCATTTTCTGTAGCAGCGACTCCATTTTATATTCCCACCAACCGTGCCTAAGGCCTCCGGTTTCTCCACATGCTCGCCAACACTTCTTATTTTCTGGTTTTTTTGATAGTAGCCACCCCATTTGCGTTTCTAATGATTAATGATGCTGAACATCGTTTCATGTGTTATTGGCCATTTGTGTATCTTTGGAGAAATGTCTATGCAAGTCCCTTTGCCCATTTTTGAATTGGGTTGTTTGTTTTGTTGCTGTTGAGTTTTAGGAGTTCTCTATATACTTTGGATATTAATCCTTTATTAAATATATGACTTACAAATATTCTCTCCCATTCTGTGGGCTGCCTTTTTACTCCATTGGTATTGTCTTTTAATGCATAAAATTTAAACAATTTTTATGAAATCTAATTTGTGTATTTTTTTCTTTTGTCGCCGTTGCTTATTTCTTGAATGAAAACTTATCTTTGCCAATAAATCTCCTACAGAGACTTTAAAAGTTGTTGCGGAATAATTTTGGGGAAATAACTGTAAATTTGTATTTTTTAAAAAATGTGAGCTCAAATCAAACTGAAAGTTCTAGAAGACATACGTTTCTTACATTCTTCCTAATATTTATTGAGACACTTCCCTTGACAGCTACATAATTTTATTTTGCTTGCAGTAATTAATAGAATGAGTTCCTTTAGCATAATTGTCATTGTATCCAGGTACAAAAGATTCTGTTTTCGAAACGTGAGTGAACGTTTGCATATTTTTGCTTGCCAGAAGAAAGTATCTGTTTGTCGTATGCATGTATATACACCCACACGTGTAACGTCTCTTCTCGCCCCGGCAGATAAAGGCTGGTGGTGGGAGAACGCGATCGCTGCCCTTTTCCAGAGACACTCTCCGGTCAGCTGGCTTCTCCGCACCGTGAGTATGTTCGCGTCGAGCCCACCTCCCCTACCTTCATCTTCCACACCAGCGTGTTCACGCCGTGATGCTCCGCGTCATTTAACAGTGTTGTTTTCAATGTAAGAAGCCCCTGAAAAGAATAAGCATCTAAGCGTTTGCAAAGTGCCTAGAAACCTTTTTGATAATCAATGTCAACAATAAAGCCAGACGCCCGTTAAAGCGGTCAGGGCGGATTTTCATCAGGGGTGTGCGACTGCGGGAGGGAGAGAGCCCCCCCAGTTCCCGTGGGAACCGAACACGACGTGGATTTGTGCGCAGGCGACTGGGTGTTTTAAAGCGAGGAGGAGGAAGCGTGAAGGGGCGTGAGCAGGGCCTCGTAGAGGCAGGGACGGGAAAAGCAGAGAGAAGAGGGGCTGGTTCATGGGAAAGCCTTCTGGTTTGCTACCTGGAGCTTGGAAGTGAAGCTCCTGCCCTCCCAGAGACTGGGACAGACCTACCTGCAGGTGCCGGCTGACACGAACAGCAAGTTCCTTTGACAGCCTTGAGTTTTCTCAGACAGGCACTGTACAGGGGACTTGGGTCCTCGGAGGGATGTGGCCTCGAGCTGTTAGAAACGTGCTAGTGTGTGTTCGAGACGTACAGGCCCAGGCGAAGGCCCAGGAGAGAAGAGGGCTCGGAGGAGCTGGCTGGAGTTTGGTCAGAAGAGAATATTTGTCGCGTGTAGGCTAGTTTTTCCCACGATAGCTGATTGAGATAAGAGATAATACTATGTTCCTGTCCAGACAGAGATGTGCCCGCCTTTTAGAATCTCTATTGGCCAATATCTGAATTAGCAAAACAGATACATTAGCAGGTAGCTCCACACACAGCGAAAGCAGCATCTGCCTTGCATGAACCTATCAAAGCAAGCAGAGTTCAGGCCACATATATCATCCCAGTCCCCCCTTATCCACGCTTTTGGTCTCTGAGGTTTCAGTCACCTGCAGTCAATTGTGTCTGGAAAATAGGAATGGAAAATTCCAGAAATACACAATACACACATTTTAAATTGCACAGCCTCCTGAGTGGCAGGATGAAATCTTGAACCTTCCCACTCCTTACACCTGGGTGGTGAATCACTGTGGATCATTCCTTTGTCCCGCCACCCGCCCACCAGTCACTCAGCAAACTCTCCATTATCAGATGACTGTCGTGGCATGACAGTGCTTGTGTTCAAGGAGCCCTTATTTTACTTAACAATGGCCCCAAAAGTAGTGATGCTGGCAATTCAGAAGTGCCAAAGATGAGCCATAAAGTACCTCCTTTAAGTGAAAAGGTGAAATAAGGAAAGAAAAAAATATATATATACATGTTGAGGTTGCTAAGATCTATGGTAAGAAGGAAGCTTCTGTTGGGCACGGTGGTGCATGCCTGTAGTCCCAGCTACTCAGGGAGGCTGAGGCGGGAGGATCCCTTGAGCCCAGAAGTTTGAATCCAGCCCAGGCAACATAGTGAGAGCCCCTGTCTAAAAAAATATGTTAAAAAAAAAAGAATGAATCTTCCATCTGTGAAATTGTGAAGAAGGAAAAAGAAATTCCTGTGTAGTGTATATCAGCTTGGGTACTATTTGCAGACATCAACTGGGGTCTTGGAATGTGTCCCCCATGCTAAGAGAGGGCTGTTACAACTTGTAATTTGACCAGAGAGAACCCCTTTCCTGGAGCGCAGCTCTGGAGCCAGGACCGGTGTTAGCCTTTCTGGCTTTTCCTCGCCTTGTTCTGAGTCCTCCAGCCCCACTGGACTTACCGCAGTTCTCGACTTTTCCCTTGGGTGCTCCCTAAAGATGTTGACAAACTATGT